CTGCAGAGGGCAGATGCCTGCCTGGGTTCAACCCCAGCACAAAAAAGTTTCAGCTTAAATTACCTGCATGTCCCATCAGCATCTGTTACACGTAACTAATTTTAATTTTTATGTGCAAATAAATGAGTGTTCGTGTTACTCCGGTAGTGGAAGGGCATTGAGTGAACAGTGTGAGGCCCCTGTGCTCCCTCTCGCCATGCTTCTGTACCCCAGGCTCTTGTGACTGTCTGGGGCTCGGCGGTGAGCACAGAAACCTGGAGAAGGGGGACTGGCCGTGGCCCGGGATCACACCGTGGCTGAGTGTTGGGAGCCCGGCCTGCATGCTCCGGCTGGCTGGCTGGCCTTCCTCCCAGCTGTGAAGCTCACTTCCACCCGGCCTGGAGTTGGCTTTAGGAGGTGATGTGGAAGGCGTGCTGCAACCGCCTGAGCCTCTGCCTGAGCCTCTGCGTCTGATCGGCTGTGTGACTGATCGCCTTTTGACTTCTTGAGCTTTTCCCTGTTTCCAGGGTCTTGAGAAGACAAGTGTGCACGAGGCCTCATCGGTGGGCTGGGGTAAACCGCAGCTGTTCTCTCTGATCGCCCCTCAGTCCACTTCCCGGAATCCCTGCCCCTGGCTCTGTAGCCGGGAGGAGAGTAACCACTGCCTGCCCCTGCACCCTCAGACTGTCTCAGCTCCCTCTTGGGGGCGCCACTCCAAGTGTGCAGAGCCTCTGGGCCTCCCGTGTTCATCAGGCTGGTGCTGCGCAGGCACTGGCTGGGGGCACACGGGACTCGCGTCTGGGGCCTCCGGGACCGTGGGTGAAGAAGGAGGTTTGCGATCACAGCCTCTCTGGAGCACCCCTCAGGGCCGGTTCTCCACGGGGCTGGGGGGACACCCCAGGGAGACCAGGGTTCTGGGGAGCCCTGTGGTGGAGTTGCCGGCACCTCCTGATGTGGAGCCCAGGACCTAGGGCGAGGGCCCGTGTCTCTGTCACTGGGCGCTGGAAATGCTGGCGACTGTGAGCACGGTGGGGGCAGGACAGCGGGGCTAAGCTGTGGGCTGGCGTGGGCGGCGTTGGTTTTCCAAGTCACCAAGGGGCAGCGGACGGATGGTGGTTTGGAGAAGAAGCGTTGCTTAAGTTTGAGAAGCTCATGTTCATTCTCATTGCTTTTGTCGTTAAGGGAAGGGACATTTCCCTGTGAAACAGTAAAACCTTGCTTCTGAACAGCTCTTTGATGGAGCCATGCCGGTGGAAATATCCTAACACATGACTCAGACTTGTTTCCCAACTCTCAGGGCAAATTCTTCATTCCTGTCACCTTCACCCCGGTGACCTGCCAGTTTTCGGCCTTGAGAGTGTTCTCTAGCCTGTTCCCTGGCGCGAAACACAGACCTTGTGTGGAGCAGGAAAGGCTGGCGATCTGAGTGCTGGTTGACTCGGGACTCAGAGCAGCGGTTCCTCCGGTGAGTGGGGATTCAACCTGGTGCATGGTGGAAATTGGGATTCTCCCCATCACAGAGGCTGCAGAGAGGCCTGGCTTCTGCCATTGGTGCCTGAGACTCCCACTCTCTGAGGAACTGCGCATGTGTGGGTGCTGGCCGCCTTGGCTGGATGCAAGACGCTGGGTAGATTTCTGCACTGGAGCTGGGGTGTAAAGGTGCCCTGTTTCACCTGTAGCAGTTTTAGAACTTCTGCTTGTGTTACTTCTTGCGTAACTTGCGGCTGTCCTGATAGAGAAAGCGGGAAGAGAAGGAGAGGCTGCTTCTTGAACCTTGCTTCTGACCTTGGGTCCTCAGGCCTCTCTAACCCTGTCTTGCCTCGGCTGTGTGGGTGATGTACTTTAGAAAGCCTGTCAGTAGCCAGGACGTCCACCCCATGGTTGCACTGGTGTTATCTCGGAGAATCCCTTTGCGTAGCGCACACTCGGAAGAACCTGGTTCAACTGCCCTGCTGAGTGTCTGGCGGGGAGACCAGACTCCCCCCCGACATTTCCGTGCGTTGGAGGGTTTTTTGTTTTGTTTTTAAACCAAATGAATTACACTTAAGTGATTTTCTTTTCCTGTTTCTGTTAACCATGAGCTGTAGTTGGGCCAGAAATCACGGTGTTTCGGATACTAGTATTAACGCTGAGTTCGATTGTTCAGTGGTTTGATGCTAACCGTTTAGACCATTAACAAGTTCCTACTCCACATTTGGTGTTTCAGCCTTGCTCCCCATTCCCAGTTTTACTGAGTCCTTGGCAGTCCTAGTCTCACCCTGAGGGTGTGACCTGTCTTTAGGAGTTCGTAGTTTTATTTAGAAAAAGACAATTTAAAGGACCCGCTGAGATGGGTTTTATGGAGACTTCCCCAGTCCCGTTGGAGGGGGTGAGGTCATCCTTGGGGGCTTTGGCTCCCAGGCATTCAGCTCTCCCTTCCTTACTGCTAGGCTGGCCCTTGTCCTGCCCCCGTCTTCCTCCACTCTCCCCACGTTGGCCTAGTGGCTCCCTGAACCTACCTTAGAGTGGCAGCTGGGGTCAGATGCTGGAAGGTGCTTGTGCCCGTGAGCTTTCATTCCCCAGTAGGCGACTGTAAGGCCCAGTCGGTGCAGCTGCTGTGAGGGCAGTGGTGGGGAGCTGTGGCACCTTCGGAAGCTCTAAAGGACTCTCCGGTTTAGGGCACGGTAACAAAGAGTGTGTGTTCCGGACAGGTCACTGGCCCTTCTAACACTCCCCTCCCTGCGACTCCTGCTCCTGTCTGGTGGAAATGCTTGATTGTGCCACCTGTTGCGGCAGTGTCCGTGGCAGAGTCACGTGCCGGAGTTTCTGGACGGTTGAGCATTCTGTGATGCCAGCTGAAGTCCTGAGAGGAGCTGTGAGGACAGTGCCTGCGTGCTGCTTTCCTGTGTTTAGCTCTGCCCGTCACGTGTTGTCTCCTGATGAGCATTGTGTCTTCACTTGCTAGAGCAAACGACTGGCCTTCTTGTTTCTTATGAGAGTGGTGCTTAACAGAAGGCAAGCTTTCTTTAACCACCCAGGAACTTTGGGTAATTGCTGGTTGATATTTATGTACTTGTCTTATTTTTAGAACATGAACTTTGTGTAGTTGTACTGTCACACGTCACCTGTATCAGAGCTCACCTGCGGTTTAGCGTGACGAAAAAGTAAAAAAAATGAGTTTACTAATTTTTATAAAGGTTATTTTATAGGATTTATGTGGAATGATATAAATTAATTAAATACATGTGCGTTAGTGGTTAGGTATGATGCTGGTTACAGTAGCATTAAACAGTGTCTGCACTTGGCAATAGAAGAATAAGAACTTTTTAACTGCATAGATTTTTAATGTGTATGCATTTTTTGTTGTAAGTCATTTAGAATTTTTTTTTCTTTTTGGTGGAAAGGGGCATAGCCAAACATATACTATGAATAAAAATGGGTGAATTTCCAATTTGAATAATAGACATCACTAGAAGACGAGATTTACTGCACAGTTAATTTCTAAACATAACTGTTTCATAAAATAAGGGACAGCAGCTGTAAGGAAGGGAATGATATTGCCACCATTCGCTGTGGTCCTCGGCAGCTGGGCGGTGCCAGAAAGAGGCTTGGGTGTGCAGAGCGGGTTTAAGTTAAGCGTCAGCTGTGTGCTCAGCAAGTGCTGCTGGGATCTGGCGAGCGGTGAGTGTAAGTGCTGCTCGGGGGTGGGGGCCGCCAGGTCAGGGCCAGCCCGAGACATTTTGTGAGACCCCATTTTAGCGGAAGACTCTGCCCGCTGTCATCACCTGTCTGGCCTGATCCCGGGAGGACGTGGCCCTCTGGGTTGCCAGGTCGGGTGGAGATGTGCCCGCCAGCTGGGGGTGGGTGCGGAGCTCCGTTTGGGGTGGTCACGCAGGCCCCGCAGAGCCAGAGGCACCGCTCCCCGGCCCTCAGGTTGCCTTCTGCATCTGTGTGCTTCTGTTGTAGCAGACTTTTCCATTTGACCATCTCCATCGTGTATAAAATAGCACACTGTGTAGCTCTGGGGTTTCTGCCTTTGGTGTACTCTGTTTTAGTATTTTTTATTAGCAAATTCAATTTCTCTTGGCCTGGAACCCATGTTGTTTTGGGTGTTTTTACATGAAAGCTCCAGTTGAGCATTGACAGATGTGATGACAAAGGCCTGTGGCAGGGGTGGGGGGTCCCCCTAAGCCTTGTGGGGTCTGTCAAGTTTCTGGAGTTGATTTTGGTTATGTTTATACTGTTGTGTATGTGTTTTAGTTTCCGAAACTCCTTCGTAAATCCTTTCTATCCTAAATCCATTGTCCTCTCACAGGCACCCTTTTCCATCCCGTCCACGGCTGTGGGTGGCAGTGGCGGATTGCTTCCTGATGACCGGAGGCAGGGACCTACCTGCTGGCCCCTCTGCTGGGGTTGGGAGGTCCTCAGATGCTCCCCAGCTCCGCCTGCCCACAAAAGGCTGAGTGCTTTGTCGGAAGCTGCCATGCCGGGGCCTTCTTCCCGGCAGAGCCTGAGCCGCTGAGTTGCCCTGTTGCCCACCTCTGCTGGTTGGTTACGCCTTGGGCCCTAGGGCTGTACCTGAAAGGTGCAGACCTGGTGATTTTCTGCACCCTCGGCTGCATTTTGCTGGTCTCTGGGCTGTGATGTCCCAGTACCTTGTCAGGAGTGAGGAATGGGCAGCTGAGGCACGTGGGGCCCTTTCTGTCTCCTCAGAGTGTCCCCGTCTGACTGGTTTTGTTCTGGTGCAGGCTGTGACGGTGCTGCTCTTGGGCTGGGAGCGGCGAGGTGTTTCCATCGAGGCTCTTGCCGTCTCTCCCTGAACGTTTGCCCGCTTCGCTCCGTGGTGGCGCTTGCTTGGCCGTAAGTGAAGCCAGTGAGCACGACAGACCCCTTGCCTGCCTACCAAGGCTTCGGTTTTCTTCTCGGATGTTTTTGCTTTGCAATATAAGTGCTTTGGATTGCTCCGGAGGAGCCCACGGGTCCTCCTGTTATGCGCTTGGTGTTCGAATGGGCCAGTACTACCGCATGTCTTTGACTTGCAGACATCTGGAGTCTGGGTGTGATCCTGTTCATGCTGGTGTGCGGGCAGCCACCCTTCCAGGAGGCCAACGACAGCGAGACGCTGACCATGATCATGGACTGCAAGTACACGGTGCCGACCCACGTGTCCAAAGAGTGTAAAGAGTGAGTAGACAGCGTGCGGCCTGAGGTGACTCGGCTCCCAGGCATGAGTTCCTTTTCATCCTTGAGTTGAGTATCTGTGGTTTTGAGAGAGGTTGGGGGGAGCCCAGATTTTCACTTGAAATTTAACGCTGGAATGCAAGTGTGCTCACGGACTTATCCAGTATGCCTGCTTTCAGGAAGTTCATTCCTGGCTGCCCTGAGGTGGCCGCCGCCTTCCTCTGCCGCTTCTCCCTGCACGGCCCCAGGCTCCATGGTGCTCTTAGCCCCGGAAGCAGCACCTCACGAGCCGCTGGGCATCTGTGAGCGCGGGGTGACAGTGAGTGGCGCGCCAGGCTGACCCCGCTCTGTGGTCATCGCTGTCGCGGGAGGGCGGTGATGGGGAGAGCGCTTGGAGTTGAGTGTTTCGTCATCCATATTCCCAGTCCTTTAAAGGGAGTCCGGCCCAGGGGGTTGCCGCTAACTAAGGATTTGTTAGAACAGCAAAGTGTTGCATTTCTCCTGACACCTGGAAGAGGAGATCTGCCAGCGTGGGCCTCTTTCTTTCCAGTGGAGCCCCATCTTAGCCGACAGTTAAGAGCATGGGGAGTAAATTTCTGGACCCACTCATTGCAGGTGTCAGCGGCAGTCACGCTGGATGCTCGTGGGGCGAGCGGCCCCGCCCTGCCAGGGGGCCCATGCTCTTAGAGCCGTGCGTGCGCAGCACTGCCGAGCTGCAGGCTTCCTTCGGGACTGGGCAGTGCACCCCGTGCCTCCTCGTCTCCTCCCTGATGCCAGGCCTGGCTCACGCTGTCCTCCGTGCCCCCTGGGGAGCACACCGGCACTGTCCTCACTGCCCAGGGCCCTGCTCTCACTGCACTGTTGGGTGCTGAGTCCTCCCTGTGTGTTGATTCATAAAATCCATTTCTAGAAACAGCTTTTTTTCCTAGTACCAGGGATCAAACTCAGGACCTTGCCACTTGCAAGGCAGGTGTGGTGCCATTGAGCTAAATCGCCGGCTTCTCGAAATGTGTTGCATGGCGTTTCACATGTTTACAAGCTGGCCGTGAGTCACTGCCGACCTCTGACCATGTGCCCGCCCATGGCAGTACCTGTGTTAGGTCCACGGCACAGTGGCGCCGCTGCGGGCTGTAGTTTCTTCCTTCTACACATGACAGCACTGAACCCTCCCTCCTCATGCCCATCCAGGAGCCTGTGGGCTGGACGGTGTGGGAGGTGTGTACTCAGGCTGCCACTGCTATCTCTGAGCAATCTGCTGTAACGCCGGCCCTCCCTTCCCTGCAGCCTCATCACCCGGATGCTGCAGAGAGATCCCAAGAGAAGGGCCTCTTTGGAAGAGATCGAAAACCATGCGTGGCTGCAGGGGGTGGACCCTTCACCGGCCACGAAGTACAACATCCCCCTCGTGTCCTACAAGAACCTCTCGGAAGAGGAGCACAACAGCATCATCCAGCGCATGGTGCTCGGGGACATTGCCGACCGCGACGCCATTGTAGAGTACGTCAGTTCTGACCCAGGGGCCCAGGTTGCGGTTCCGTAGGGGCTTTGGAGCTTGGGGCCTTGGGAGCCTAGCTGGGAGGAGTTGTGTCTATCTGCTGCTCCCGCCCAGGGTCTGACACGGCGTTTTGCCTGGGTCTTGTTCCGGGGAGCAGGGAAGTCACCGCCAGGTGGTGTCCGTGAGTGCGTAGCCTTCTCACTTCCAGTGGGCTGGAGTGCAGCAGCTGGATGGCGCCTGTCTTGGGGACCCTTTGTCTGCAGCGATGTCCTCTTCCTTCCCGTGTCTGCTGCGGTCTCCGTGGGGAGGTCAGAGCAGCGCTGCTTGTCTCCTCTGGGTCAGGCTTGAGGAAGGGGCCGTGCCATTTTGTAGGTGACGTCTCGCTGGCCACAGAGCCCATGCTCGTGTACGGTTGGGCTGAGCTCAGTCCCCTCCCCGGAGCCCTGTCAGCCCCGGCCCTGCAGGCCTTCGTGGTGTTGCTTCCTCTGCCTGACCACAAGTAGGGCTCTGGCTTTTGCTGTTCTGATGCTGAGGACAGAACCCAGGGCCTCGTGCATGCCAGGCGAGCGCTGCAGCCCCCCAGTCCCCACAGTCGGGTATCAGTAACCTGAGCGGCTGGGCGTCAAAGAGCAGGTAGATGCAGTTGTGTCTAATGACAGTTTTTAAGAGGTCTGCTGAAAATTCAGTGTTTCCATAAATACCAAAAGTTATTTATTTCCTTGAAGAAGCAGTTGGGTATGATGTAAAGAGCAAATGACTAAAAGGCCACGCAGAGGTAACGGCTGAGGTCCTGGGGCAGAGGGGTCCAAGGGCCCCGTGTGGTCTGTGTGCAGGACATACACCTTCGGGGGTTTCTGATACCCTGGAGAGAAGGGTTTACAAAAGAAAACAGGCTTTAGTTTTGGTTTTGGTTTTAGTACAGATTTGTCCAAGTTTCCAAGTGCACTGTGAGTCCTCAGACTGACACACAGCTACTTACTTACACGCCCTGTCTGAGCAGAGAGCGGGACGCTTGTCTGTGCACACACGTGTAGGAGTCCGTGGAGAACGACTGAGACGACTGAGGGAAGGGCTGTGTGCATCTCCCTGAATGGCCAGGCGTCCTCCTCAGATGGACACCTGCACTGCTGCACGGAGAATTCCTAGTGTGAACTCACACCAGGGAGCGTCCGCATCCACCCAGAAAGGCGGGTGGCGGCTGTGGGGCTGCAGCCTGCGTGTTCCCAGACACAGTAGCACTGCAAGAAGCCCTCCTGCCCTCCGGAGCCCTGTGCCTCCAGCTGCCCACCCATCCTGCCCCGCTGCCCCGGCCGGACACTGTCAGCACTGACCTCGGAATGGCTTCCGTCCTGAGCATGCGTTGTGTATCAGAAAGCCTAAAAACCAGTCGCATGTTTCTGGGCCTTGGGGGGGGTTCTGAAGCACTGTCCCAGCACGTCCCATGATGGGCCCTGTGCCTTGGTGGGTGCCATGCCCTGGCACCCGGGTACGCAGGTACCCTGTGATCACAGCTTTCTAGACGGACGAATGAAAACATTGATTTTACTCAGAAAAGTAGTAAGCAGTGACATACTCTCAGTGCCCACAGTGCGTGTAATTGCAAAGAGAGTTGAAGGTAGACACATTTTCTGATTTTCCTGATTGATGCTGAGGAACGCGCCATCCTTCATGTTGTACTGGAAGCAGGTAAAGCCTTTAGCAGTGAACACTTCACAGGCACACTAACTTCCGGTAATGCACAGCACCTGGGAAGGTTCATTACCGTCTCTTGCACATCTCAAACTGACGTGAGCCCACACACTGTTAGCGTTTTTTTTTTTCCACTGAAATGAGCATTTATGTGCAGTTGCCTTTTAGGGTTTCAGTAGTGGCCTAAATACTACTAGGTCTCTCTCCCCCATTTGCCTTTGTGAATGAATTTAAAGCTTCCTGGTCATTGAATTTCATTTTTTTATCCTTTTCAAAAATCACAAGTCTTTATGAAAAGCACAGCTGTCTGTGTGGCTTATGTTCGCTCTGTTTTTCCTCAGAGCCCTGGAAACCAACAGGTACAACCACATCACGGCTACCTACTTCCTGCTCGCCGAGAGGATCCTGAGGGAGAAGCAGGAGAAGGAAATACAGACCCGGTCAGCGAGCCCCAGCAACATCAAGGCCCAGTTTAGGTGAGAAAAATGTCTTCACTGATTTTAGTAAGTTTACATTTTGAAATAGTGTACTTTCCTTTCCTGTGAGGGTTGTGAGGCCAGCGGTGACCCAGCCCGGCGGGGAGGCCAGTCGTCTCATGGCCATGCTGTCCCCATGGCGCATCCTTGGGCCGTGGGCCTGGCCGGGACAGGCTGTGCCGGTCCTTGTCACCAAGCTCTTCCTGGTCTGACACATGCTGTGCCGGCTTCTCTCCCGGTGATTTGAAATAAGTTTTTAAAATGTGTTGGTTTAGAGAGTGGGCTGGGACCCACCAGTGCATCGCCGGTTGGCCCAGGAGGCTGCTTAACCTCTCAGTGACACAGCTGCCTACTCTGCAGGCTGAGAGGAGTCACCCTGAGCTGGGAATCTGAGGGACGGGAGCGCTGCCGCGCTAGAGCACCTGCCCTGCTCCTGCTTCCATGGGCCGGAGCTCCAGAGTGGCCGGGGGCCCAGCGTCAGAAGTCACCAACCCAAGCCTGTGTCTGATGGGTAAATAGTGGCCCTGCCTCCCAGCACTGTGGGCTCCGTGAGTTGGACCCACGGTGCGGCCATCACCGGGGGCTCTGGTCCATCGGACGCACCTGCGCTTCCTGTTGGCGTCTTCCCTTCTCACTATGTGGGCGAAGACGGCACTGCTGTGCCCACCGCCTACAGCCCCTCGCCAAGGGCCTCCGGGCCAGGAGTTTGCCCGCCGCTGTCGAGCCTTGTGGGGCAGAAGAGCTTGGCCGTCTGCGCCCTCCCCGGGTTGAGCAGCTGCTCAGTGTGGGGTGGTTTGGGGCCAGCTCCTGCGCGCGCTGCACTGTCCTGACTGCCGCGACCGGCACCACCCTTGCTTTCTTCTTCCTGTACCTGGAGCGCTGGGGGGAAGAGCCACATGGGGAGATGCTGGTAGGGCCCTAGGCTGTGGGCTAAAATCAGTGTGAAGTGGAAACGACATGGCGCCGTGTGACAGTGGCTGTTTTAAATGTCTCTGGCATCTCCCATCCCACGGGCATGGAGAGCAAATGAGGATTCATGGTGCAGGTGGAGTGCCGCGTTCTCAGAGTCCCCCCTGGGCCACCAAGCAGGTTCTTGTAACGTGGCTGACGCTAGGCTGGAGAGTGAAGCCGAGGGTTAAACACGAGCGGTTTTGCTATGCAGTGCTCCTTACGGGTGGGTGTTTGAAAGTACACTTATACCAAGTGAAAGTTTTTAATTTAAGAAGAGATTCGTATGTGACAGCTCCACAGCTCTTCTCCCAGCACCCTCGTATTTAAATCCATTAAACTATTTCCACTTATTTTTATGAATGCTGAGCTTTTACACCATCTTGTAAAAGCAGCACTGGAATTCCAGGTGAATTTTATTAGCAATCCTACAGCTCAATAAGTTGAGCTATAAGCATCAAAGGGACAAAGTCAGAAGTGTGATCAAAATATACAGTGAATCTTTACTTTTTAAAAAAAAATTAGTACAGTAAGATACATTGCTATTAATTCCCCTCAAAACACGCCTGGCTTTGAACACACTTATTCTTACAGTTTTGGCGTACTTTCCTGAGTGTCTTTACTAGTGTGATCAAAAATACAGTGACTACTGCCACGGAGCACCATCCAGCAGAGAGGCAGCGCATAAAAACACGACAGTGTGTTCTCATCCACCTTGGTCCCAGATCTGGCACCGGGCGACGTCTGGCTCTTCCCAAAGTAAAAATGACCCATCGAGGTAGCCAGGACAGCGCAACTATAAAGACCCTCACGAAAGCGGACTCCAGAGCTGCTGCAGAGAGCGAGAGAGCTATGGGATGGGTGTGTTCAGTGAGAAGGGAGGGTTCTGGGGGAGGTTCAGGGCAGTGTGTCTTTCGCTGTAATTTAAAAACTTGAATCCCATATTTTCCATCACACCTCATCCGGGTGCTGTGCAGGCTTCGGAAAGTGAGTGCTTTCTCTGGTGCACAGCATACTCCCTGGCAGCTGTGGCGAGGTCGCGCCTGCATGGCCTCCTGCTAACCGCATGTGCCCGCCGGTGTCCTGGCTGACAGATGCTGGTAGGAGTGTGGCTGCCGTGTTTCCTTCTGTGTCTGTGGGTTTACTGTGCAAGTTTTGTGTGTCTTTTACTGACGTCTGTGCGTGACTGCATGCCTTTTCTCTTTCTGATTTATTACGCAGGCAGTCATGGCCAACCAAGATCGATGTGCCCCAGGACCTTGAGGACGACCTTACGGCCACGCCTTTGTCCCACGCAACTGTCCCTCCGTCTCCGGCCCGGGCCACCGACAGTGTCCTCAATGGCCACAGGAGTAAAGGCCTGTGTGATTCGACTAAGAAGGACGACCTGCCCGAGCTGGCAGGACCCGCGCTCTCCACGGTGCCCGCTGCAAGCTTGAAACCTGCAGTCAGCGGGCGGAAGTGTCTGTTCAGGGTGGAGGAGGACGAAGAGGAGGATGAGGAGGACAGGAAACCCATGTCCCTGTCCACACAAGTGGTTCTGCGGCGGAAGCCGTCTGTGACCAACCGTCTGACATCCAGGAAGAGCGCGCCCGTCCTCAACCAGATCTTCGAGGAGGGGGAGTCAGATGATGAGTTTGACATGGACGAGAACCTGCCGCCCAAGCTGAGCAGGCTGAAGATGAACATCGCCTCCCCAGGCACCGTGCACAAACGCTACCACCGGAGGAAGAGCCAGGGCCGCGGCTCCAGCTGCAGCAGCTCTGAGACCAGTGACGATGACTCTGAGAGCCGGCGGCGTCTGGACAAAGACAGCGGGTTCCCCTACTCCTGGCACCGGCGGGACAGCAGCGAGGGGCCCCCAGGCAGCGAGGGGGATGGTGGGGGCCAGAGCAAGCCCAGCCATGGCAGCGGTGGCGCGGACCAGGCCAGCCTTTTGTTAAGATGCAGGGTGCACCCCGGGTGGCACCTCGGGGTCCACGCGCCGCTGTGCCTCGGGGCCCCCCAGCTCTGTGCAGCTGGCCTCGCGCAGTGCCGGGGAGCTGGTGGAGAGCCTCAAACTCGTGGGCCTCTGCCTGGGCTCCCAGCTGCACGGCGGCGCCAAGTACATCATGGACCCGCAGCGGGTGCTGGCGCTGTCCAGCGTGAAGGTGCAGGAGAAGTCCGCGTGGAAGATGTGCGTGGGCTCTGCTGCGGGCTCCGGCCAGGCCCCGGCCGTGGGCAGTGTCAAGTTCTTCTCCGAGCACGTGGCCGGGGCCACCGCCGAACTGGAGCGGATAAAGAGCAAGAACCTGAAGAGCGGCGTGCTCCAGCTACCTCTGTGCGAGAAGACCATCTCCGTGAACATCCGGCGGGGCCCCAAGGAGGGGCTGCTGTGCGCCTCCAGCCCGGCCAGCTGCTGCCACGTCATCTGAGCGCCAGCCGCGACCACGCATGGCCTCTGCATGCTGCCAGACCCCACTTTGTTTCCAGCCGAAGAGTCTACTGTGTACTTTTTACATTCATAGTTGTAATGTGGATGATCAGGATGAAATTAAATTGTATATTTGGAACCTAATGTAAATGGAGCACTTAGAAATTCGATATTCTGCACTTCACCTAGAGAGAGAGAGAGATGCTTTTGTTTCTTGTGCAAAATCTAAATCCTGTCCTGACCTCCTGTGATCCAGAAACTCCGTGCTCGGAGGCGCCTGCGGTGCCCGAGACAGAACCAAAGCAATAACACGTGGCAGCCCTGGCCCAGCGGCGAGGTGGCCCTGCCGCCCACAGCCTGGCGGAGCAAGGACAGCGAGTGTCTGCCCTGAGCGAGCCCTGACGGCGACCCCTGCGCCTGCACCCGGCCGTCGTGGGTAGGGCGTGAAGCCCGAAGCTTGGGCTCTCGTGTCGCCCGGCGATTCTCCTGCCTTCCTGGCAGGTGAGGTGAAGGACAGCTTTCTGAGGCAGCGGCGAGGTGGCCCTGCCGCCCACAGCCTGGCGGAGCAAGGACAGCGAGTGTCTGCCCTGAGCGAGCCCTGACGGCGACCCCTGCGCCTGCACCCGGCCGTCGTGGGTAGGGCGTGAAGCCCGAAGCTTGGGCTCTCGTGTCGCCCGGCGATTCTCCTGCCTTCCTGGCAGGTGAGGTGAAGGACAGCTTTCTGAGGCAGCTTCCCCCTCACGGCAGACACGCGGACAATCCTGTACCGTGCTGCAGCGAGCTCCTGACGGCGTCTGTCCAGCAGAGCTCAGGCTGCCCGTGGGCAGCGTCTGCGGGACTGTGTGGGCCCCGCTAGTGCCCTCAACGCCGAGGAGACGGAGGCGGTGGTGGGGCCCTGCACGGGCAGAGGGCACGCAGACTGGCCGAGTCTTGGGTCTGATGGGAACCAAACTTCTGGGATCTGTTTCTCAGGAGTTTGCTAATTAGTCGTCCTGTTTCCATTTCATTCCATCCTTTGGCTCAGCTAGCTATGAAAATTGGCTGATCAGAAGTACAGATAAAAAGGTAAAATTTACACAGCAAACAAAAATGCGCAAAGCCTGCTTTGTGCCCCCCCCCCATTTTTTGTTTTGCCTTCCTGCCAGAAAACAGTCGGGACCCCGGCTGTAACCTGCCCAACACGGTGACACTTTTGACCCGATAATCGTCTCGTGGCCACTCGTCTTGCAGGATGCGATAGGTAGCAGATCATGGGTGTTGCGAGGAGCCAGATGCTGTTTCCCTCACGCTGTGCCCTGGGGTCTTAACAGCTGCGTTTGGCAGCCTTCGGGTGGGCTGTGCCCGCTCTGACACAGCTTGGAGCGACGGGCCTGACTTGAGCAGGCAGAGCACCGAAGACCCGCACGGCGCGGCCCAGGCCCGGCCCCAGCAGCCTGGCAGCTCCCTGACGTGGGACTCGTGCCCTGTGCTCAGGACTCGGGGTGCGCAGTGTGCCTCACCGTGTAAGTACGGCTGCTACTTCAAGTCTCTCTCCTGTGTAGACAGGCCTGGGCTAGCCAGGCGCGTTTTAGGCTGCAGCTCTAGTTATTGTGATATTTATGCTGAAAGCTATGAGAATAGATGTGTGGGTGAAGCCATAGAACATATTTGCTTGAAATTCTTGAGCAGGGATCTTTGAAGGGCCAGAAAGAAGATGTGTAGTTCATGTAGTCAGTGAGCGTCACATCTGTCGGCAGCATAGGAGGGAGGTTTCCAAAGGGCATTGGCAATAAACTCTTTGTTGCAGCTGTTTTCCAAGTCCTGTAAATACTTTCGCTGTGGTTGTGTATAGCCTTGGCGTGGCACCTTTTAACTGACCCACCTGTGTTGGTTCCCAGTGGTTTTTATATTCAGATGTACATACGGTGCTCGCCTTAGGGTCAGCAGAGTTGACCACTTACGTGAGGAGCTGTGTCGTAGCCTTACAGCCGTGTGTGGTTGGTCGGCCGCCCGGGCCACACGTCTGTCTGAGTGGTGTCCGCCCGTCCTGAGCGAGCGACTGCATGTGTCTGTGTGTAGTGCGCCATCCGTACGGGAGGGGCGGACGCCATTACGGGGAGGTACTCTTGGACCAAACTCCTTGACCCGCTCTCCGGGCACCTGGGCCCTAACCTCTGTCTTCACAAGTTGCATAGTTACAGTAATGCATCCATTAATATTGTGGAAAGCAGTCGTGTATTTTTCTGTATGTGTGTATATAATATATAATTACGTACTTCTGGCAAGTCTACGCGTATTTAAAGTAGTGACAATCTTGACACCGACTCTAAGATTAGCTGTGAGCCTGGGCTGCGTTAACGATGTCCTGAAGAGCTGATGTGCCCGCATTCACACCGTCAGCTGCTCGCTCGGTTGCTTCCAGTTCTGGCGGATTTTCCTCCTTGTGTAAACATTTACAGGTCTGTGACAAATGGAAAATAATCCAAACAATAAAGTGACATTGGTGTTCAGCAACAGAAACCGCGTCCCCTGTCGTGTGTGTCCTCGCGATCCCTGCCCGCCCTGTACCACCAGATGCGGCAGAGAAGCCAGGGACGGCGTCGCTGCTCCAGCTCGCTCACGACACCCAGGCCGGTCCCGCTGCTCTCTCCAGGATGTCCTTTCTGTCCCAGCCTTGTCCCTGTGACTTGGGCCCCTCTGGGAGCCGTGCGGACCTGGCTCTGGTCATTCTGTTCTTTCTCTCGCATCATCCATCTTTGCTCCTGCCCTGGACTCTGCCTACAGACGAAGCCACCGTGACGCCACCTCCCTCGACAGCAGCCACACCCTGGTTCCCCGCGTTGTCGCCAACCGTGGCCCTGCTGCCTTCTCCTCTGGAGCTGCTCTGCGAGAGGTCAGTGGTAACCTCCACGTGGCCAGTCCAGCGGGCCAGTTTTGCAAATGGCTTTATTGTAGCGTCAGTCACTTACTGCGAAACTTGCTGGTTTAAATTGTGAAATGGGGTTCGGTGGGCTTGGGACACAGTGATTCTGTGTGACCCTTGCCCTAGTCCATTTTGCCCCCCAATGAGGCCTGTGCTGCCCCTCCCATCCTTGTCCCCACCCTGCAGCCTCAGGCTCGTACTGTCCAAGGTCCCTTCTCACACCCCTGGCAGAAGCCCTCCATTCCATTCCATTTCTGCTTGGAAACTTCCTGTCTCCCCACCGTCTTCCCCTGCCTCGGAAGGTGGGGTGCCAGGCTCACTTCTGACATCTGCACCCCCTGAACATCCATGGCACCTGTTCACTTCTCCCCTGGACGCGTCCACTCAGGCCTCCCTGGTGCCATCATGGGGACCCCAGGCCTTGGCCTGCTCTCCCATCCTGACGTTCAGGCCCCACTCACCGCCTCCGTAGTCACTAATCTTGGCCAGGACGCCATTGTGACTCTGGACAGCTGCGTGAGTCCCCTAACAGCAGAGCTCCCCAGCCCCGTGTTGGCCAGGCTGCTCCCCATGCCTTGAGTACACCTCCAGTCAGTGGCGACGACCCTGCATGCTCCCGGTGATGACCTCGTCCCCTCACCCCAAAACCAGCCCCTGGTGCCCCACATGACCTCTCTGCTGTCACTCTGGGCTTTCCATCCTCCCCCACTCTGCAGTGCACATGATCATTTTAAAGGATAAATTGCAAATGTACTAAGAAAAAAAACAGGAAAAATAATACCATAAAATATGCTTTAAAAGGTGTTTAATTTGCAGATGTTTGGGGATTATCCACAAGTTTCTGTTATTAGTTTCTAGTTGAATTCTATTTTAATCAGACTATGTTTTCCACATTTTTTTTAAGGTAGGATTTTGCTATGTAGTTCAGGCTGGCCTTGAACTATGTAGCCCAGTCTGGTCTCAAACTTGCAGTGATCCTCCTGCCTCAGCCTCCTGAATGCTGGGATCACAGATGAGTGCCACCACACATGGCCAATTCGTCTTAAGATGAAAAGCTTGTTTCCCAACACGCCATAGCCTGTGCTGGTGAATGTCTGGGGTTCTAGGAGAGTGCTGCTGGACATTCCCATGTCGGCTCAGTGGGTTGGCAGTGTTTGTGTTCTGTGTCTATGGATTTTCTCTCATTGTAGCAGCTCTCAAGAGGAATGCTGAACTAAATACGGAAGTAATAAAATTTTTAAAGTTTATTGGAGTAGAAGACATATGGCCAATAAGATCCTCCCCTGAACACTCAGCCCATGGTTCTGTCCACATTCTGAAGCAGCTCTGGAGTCCTCATTCTTATCTTTGAACCGGGTGTGATAAAAATGAGTGGATGCTGCTCCTGGGTGCCATCCAAAAGACAGCTCGCAAAAACGCAAGGCTGTGTCCTGGTGCTTGTTCATGGGATCGGGCACTGTGGGACTTCTCACCCTCCCCACAGTCGGAATGACCATGGAAGGTCCACATCTGAACTGATTCAGGACATCGAGGAGCTTGGACAGTGCGACTAAAGACCCTCAGGAAAGAGGACTCCGGAGCTGCTGCAGGAAGTGGCGAGGATGATGGGGGAGTGTGCAGCAAGGAGGAAGATTCCGGCCATGTGGCTTCTACTATAATAAATGTTTCAAATGTAAACACTATTTTCCGATCATACCGCGTGTCCCTCTCTTCATTCCTACCAGTTTTATTTCATGGAACTGGAGCCCCGCGTTAGGCACATACAACTAGCATACAGCGCCCTTGCCTTGGGAGATGATTTTCTGTTCTGAGACCCTAACAGAGCTCACCGTCCTCTTGGCCGTGAGAATCTTTGCCATTCTTACTGTCACCTGTGACATTAAACTCAGGCATTTTAGACAACCTAGAGTTAGTTGGGTCTTGCTTATTTGGCCAGTTTGCTTTTGGTGGAGTGTTCAGACCAGTTACATCGAATACAATTGTTGAATGGTTTGATTTAAACCTTCCTCTCTCTGGTTTTCTATTTGTCTCATCTGGTCTCAGTTTCTCTTCCCTACTTTCCTACCTTCTTTTGGTTTAACTAATCACCTTTTTCCCCAACAATGGGGATTGAATCCAGGGCCTTCACACTGAGCTACATCTCTAACTCTTTCTTACTTTTTTGTTGTTGTTGGTTTTTTGGTACCAGGGATTGAACTCGGGTCCTTGCGCTTGCAAGGCAGGCCACCGAAACGCTGAGCTAAATCCCCGGCCCTCTTTCTTTCTTTTTTGAAATAGGGTCTCACTCAGTTGCTGAGTTGCTCAGGGTGGCTCAAACTTTCAGTCCTCCCGTTTCAGCTTCCCAGGGTGCTGGGGATATAGGTGTGTACCACCACATCTACTGATCACTTTTTGTTCCATTTGCTGTCCACTGTTGGCTTCCTGGTGTTTGTTTCAGTAGCTCCTGTAGGATGTGCAGGAGATGTCAGTATGTCACAGCCTACCTTAGAATACTCCTTCAGGAGGGGTGTATGCCTACAACTGCACTGCTTCCATTTTCTTCCTGTTGTGATTGCTATTTTTTTTCACATATGTATAGATTTATAAAAATAGTTTTTAGGATACTAAATGAAAGGGGAACATACTGTACCTACAATTTCTAGCACCTTTCATTTCTTAATGCAAGCCCAAATTTGAGTGTTTTCTTCCAACTCTAGAACACTCATCACTTCTCATAGCACGGGTCTGCTGGCAGCACTCCTGTTGGCTTTCCTTGTTGAAAAACTTTTTCACTTACGAAAGATAGTTTTGATGGGTATAAAATCCTAGGTTGCCCTTTTAATTTCAGTGAACACTGAACTGCACATTGTCAAACGTTGGATTTCAGCACAGTCCCGTGTGGTCTATGGCCCAAAGTCTGAAAACCACTGCTTCATGCATTGTTCGGTTTTCTAGCAAGCGGGCTGGTCACGTTCCTCTTCTGCTGTCATGGCTGCAAGTGGAACCCTCAGTCACAGGCTTCTTTAATACTTCTCCGCTGGCTTCCCCTAGTGTGAGAAGCCAGGGTCTTCCTAGTGACCCGTGCCCTCGTCTGTCCCCATTAATTCTCTGACCTTATTTCCTCTCCAGTCCCAGGGGCCCTCTGACACCAGTGACCACCTTGCTGGCTCCTCAGCAGGAGCGCGCTGGGGCAGCCTCAGCTGCGCCTGGCTTGGCTCTTGGGGCCTCTTAGTGTCTGCCCAGAGAGGGGACAGCAGCCCCGTGCCTGCCCACTGCCCATCTGGTCTCTTGGGGGCTTTCCCTCTTAGGGCCCAGGTGGAGCAGAATCCTTTCTGCGGTCCTGCTGGGTCCCTGGAAGCCCTTACTTCTGTCAGGTCCCCTTCTCAAGCCACCCTCAAGTGCTGTGCAGAGGACGGAGGATGGAGACCTCGCTGGGATCATGCTGTCGTCACAGACACTGACTGTGAGGCCTGAGGACTTCTGTGCCTCTGATATTTGTCTCCCTGCTGATTTCCTGTGGGAGAAGGCAGGGAGCTGTGGGTTTGGGCTGGGGACAAGGTGGGAGGGTTGAGGGTCGCCTGCAGGTGCCACACCAGGTGAGAACCAAGAAACTCAAGCCCATGGGCCTCGGTTTTTCTCCCTGTAGCCAGGACAGCATTAGGAATCTGGCCTGTGGGGTGCACCCAGGAGTGTGGGGGGCAGCAGGAGCCCCTCCTGAGGCCTGTGTGCAAGAGGTTGGGGTGAAGTGACCTGGCCTGGCTGAAGCTGCACTGGCCACCTGTGGGACCTGGTGATTGTCCAGCCCTCCTGTGGAGGGAGGCGAGCTCAAGGTGTGTGGGCAGGTGACGGAGAAAGCGGTCCCTAGAGGTGGAGGCACCCAGCCTGGCTGCCGTGGTGCTGGCGGGGACAGTGTCCAACAACTCAGAGGAGCTTCCCCACAGGGTAGCCCTGGGCAGGGCCCCACAGGTCACTGGGATCCAGCCAAGTGGACATTCTCCTATGACCTGCCCTACACGGTGACCATCCCACCATCCTCGGTGACACTTCCCCTGGGTGACTGCTGCATGGTGACTCCGAGCTCCCCACTGCCAGGTAAGTGCCCCGTCTGGCTGTTCAATGGGAGCTGTGTCCCTGTGTCCTAGCCATTGCCAGGGAGTAGGTGTCCCCTCCTGGAGAGTTTGAGAATGGGGGCTTCTACTTCCACAGCCCTCGCTTCTGCTGGGTGGGGTCAGCGTGGGCGGCCAGGACCCCAGGCTAAGGGAGCCCACCAAGGAGAGCACAGAAGAGTCAGAGAGGCTTCCAGGGGAGCAGTGACCAAGAGACAGGCCCTGTGGGCCAGTGTGGGGGACAGTGTCCCCGACCCTCAGCTCAGGAGATCCTGGCATGTGGGCGGCAAAGGGCACAGCAGTTCGTGTCCCCACCCTGCGAAGTGTTCCCCCAGTTCCTGAGCTGGATGTCACCTGCCATGTGCGGGGGACATGAGTCTGGCTGGGCAGTGCCCCGGCTGGTGGTGTGGCCAGCAGGGACAGAGGCTAAGGAGCCCATGGTACCCAGGACCTGCCTTTCACAGCTGGTGTCCACATGGCAGTCCCCGAAGCCAGGTTCTGGGACCCTACTGACCCGCCCCTTCCCAGCATCGTGCAGTGGGCTGCAAGAAGAGACCTTGGGGTCAGGGCTCTCGGGCCTGTGGTGGCTGCCACCATGGACTCACACGCATGGTGACCCTCAGGGCCTGCTCCCTGCAATGGAGGGGCCAGGTCCTCACTGGAGACTGGTGGGCGGGGAGCCGGGCTCCCAAATACAGGAACTTGGAGGTGAAGGCGGTGGCCCAGGCGCAGGAGCCACCTGGTAGGAAGTCTTAGCCCCCCTGCCTGGCCCCAGGCCCTCCTCTGGGGGTGTGGGGACAGGGTTGGTGGCCTGGAGTCCTCCTGGCTGCTGGGCCTGTGAATGGGACATGTCAGGTGGTGGATAGCACTGCCAGGTAGGCCGGCGCCTCCACTGTGGCCTGAGAGCCCAGGGCACCACAAGGGGCAGCTGCCGAGCCTGCCACCATGTGCACACTGCACCAGTAAGCGGCGCCCCCAAGGCAGTGGCAGAAGCAGCAGCAGCTCACCAGGAGACCCAGGTCCCCCCCTCACCATCCTGTCTCCCCATGCCACCGTTATTATGAATATGTGAGACAGGTTCTCACCAAGTTGCCTGGGATGGGCTCAGACTTGGGACCCTCCTGCTTCAGCCTTCTCTGGAGCTGGGGTCCTGGGTGTCTGCCCCCAGCCACCGCTCTGCCTTTGCCGATCCGGCCCGGGTTCACCTTAGAACAGAGCAGTCCGGGGCCATCTGGGCAGGGAAGCCGGAGTCAGAGGTGTCAGGTGGCCTTTAATAGCTCGGTGTGATTTTTGTTGACAGCACATCTTACTGTAATGTGAACAGAACAGGGAGGAGGCTCAGGGCAGGGAACCAGTCCCCTCCACAGGGAGAGCCGCTCCAGAGGCAGCAGAGAGCGTGGACACCTCCCTCGTGGGCTTGGCGTGGCGACAGCAGGGGACAGGCATCCGTCGAGGGCTCAGGCCATCTCCTTCCCCCCTTTCCTCAGCTCCTCCTTCAGGCTCTCGGCTGTGAGCTGCATCTGCTGTGGAGAGAACACGGCACAGAGTGTGCGCCCGTGCCATGGGTGTGGACACCAGCTGGCCTTGTCCTGAGGCCCAGGATGTGAACCAGTGCCCTGGAGCCTGGCTCAAGACAAACTCGACTCCACATGGGCTGTTCATGTAGAGAAACAAAACTGAGCTGGGCCTGTGAACGCTCCTGCACCCTGGCACTGCTTCCAGCAGCTCTTGGGGCCACAGAGCAGAAGCCCCGGTCTCCTGCCCACCCACACCTGGGCCCTGCATGGCTTCCTCCACAGGCTGACAGAGCTGGCGGCCAGGGCTCAGGGGCTTCCGCTGGGGAGGGCCAGGCCGATCCAGGTACCGGGGGTGGGGTTCTTTCCACAGGGTCTGAGACAGGGGTGTCAGGGTGATAGGTGCTGATGTTGGCCCAGGGCCCAGCCTGATTCTGTGATTGCGGCCTGAGGACATAGGAGACACTCTGGCCAGGCATGTCCCCGTGAGGCCCCCAGCCCTCTGCCTTGTCCCTCTGGGGCTCCAGGTCCCCCACAAACTGCCCCACCCGTCTGCTCTGAAAGCAGATGTCCCCCAAGGAAGCCTGTGATGGCTGAGCTCGGTGTCCTTTAATGGGATGACTAGGACATCACTGTGACAGACGGAAAGGAGCGAGGAGCCAACGGTCTCCCCTCACCAGGGAGCACAGGAAGCCAAAGGCGGCACATACAACAAGGAGCTGAGGCCCGGCCTGTCCCCGACCCCAGGACCCCAAGGTACGTTTCTGTGTGTGGCTGTGGTGGAGAGCCCACAATGTGGGGTGGGGACCCAGCAGTGCCAGCTGCTCTGGGGGCTCTGACACTGCCCCTTGGGTCCCACCTGCCGTGCTCTGCAGTGACCAGGACACCTGAGAGAAAGGGAGATGTGCTGGTGACCACATGTACCACCCCTGCAGCTTCAGGCTCAGCCCGAGCATCTGGAGACCTGCGGCCCCCCCCCTGAGTCCCACCTGCTCCACCCACCAAGCACCCCCTTCCCTACCCCCCTGCACTTGTCCCCAAGCGGCCAGGTGATGTCGGAAAACATGCAGAGACCCGAAGCCTCTCCCTCGCCAGCCCTGCACTCCCATGCCACCTGCCCGAGCTCACCTTGCTCCTGGGGCCTCAGGCCCATCCAGCCTGTCCCCTCCCCTGGGGCCAGGTATCACCGGCACACCCCTGCGTGCTAACTCCTGCGCCCCTGACCCTGCTTGGGTCTTCAGGGCCTGTGCGTGCATCTGCCTTGCGGTTTGGGGCCTTGGGGTTGGCTCCATACCACACAGCGGTCGGGAGTCCACGGCCGGCTCGGCCACACAGTGCCACGCTCCATCCCCGGGCTGTGCCAGGGACTCTGGGGCCCAGAGTCTGCATCCCGCCTGGCCCCTCGGCTCAGCCTCTGCTTCTGCCAGACCCATGACCTCGGCACTTGGAAAGGAACAAAGCGCCCATCCCTCCTCCAGAAGGAGCCCGAGTCCTCACTAAAGCCGGTGTGCCTGCAGGCAGGAGGTGCCCCCGACAGGCCCAAGTGGAGCGAAGCACAAAGGTCTCGGCACATACATCCCCTTTGGGGACTGAGGCCACTGCCGACACAGGTGGCCAGGAGCGGGCACGTGCTGCTCTCTGTGCTTGGAGAAGTGGGGTCCCCTGCACTCCGCCATCATGGGGCCTGCAGTCCCCAGGGAGGGCAGAGGCGTCACCTGGCTCTGACCACCGACATGGTCAAGCGGTCCTCCGAGGCCTTGGTGGATGGGAGCAGCCGGGAAAGGGTGGGTGGAGAGACCACTCCTCCCTCTCTCAGGATGGACTTGGTCTGCCCTGTGTTCCGTGAAGAAAGCTGTGTGTGTCCCCGTCCAGGACAGCACCAGGACTTCTAAGCTGTTAAATGGGGTTGCTAAGCCGACACCATGACTCCGGAACACTCAAGCAAACTCCTCCTAAAACATCTTCTGGTCTTAAATAAGTGGGCACTTAGAGAACGTTTAAGATTTGCCAGGATTGTCACCTGCAGGGTCTAACCCATTCTCGTAATCTTGAACAGATCCAAAGCCCCGAGTGTTGCTGGGATCTTCTGGCAAATGCTGTCTGGGTGTTCCGGCCTGAGGGGCTCTGCTGTCAGGGAGCCGAGCAGCCCCACCTAGGGGTTCCTGGGGTGATGGGGGCTGCAACTCAGGACAGACCGGGAGCAGGACCTGCGCTGCCCAGATGCCTGCTGTGGTTGGACCTTGATGATCCAAGGAGGGCCCTTGTGACCAGTATCACAGAACCAAGAGGTGGGAGTTTGGGAGAGACTGAGGGACTCGGCACCCATGAGAGGTGGGAAAGCCCCGGCTCCTACCCTCGGGCTCCCGGCCCCAGGCGCTGTTGTGAGCGCTACATCTTTCAAGAACACATTTTAATTGCTTCAAAATTATTCAGCCACAGGAATTTTGTTACAGCAGCCGGAAGAGGCCGAGGGAGAGCTGCACTACCTGTGACCCAGCAGGGGTGGGGCAGAGCTTCGGGCTCTGCTGATGCCCAGCATGCTGGTGCAGACAACTGCGGACTCTTCCGAGAGCTGCAGCTTGGGCCTTGTGTATGTGGCAGCACCGCCTGACCACTGACAGACACTGAAGGTGACGTCTACCTCCCCGGGCCTGGGAGAAAGACTTTTTCTCTTACTTTAAGTAGCACAGTAGCTAAAGAGAGATCATTTTAGCCTTGAAATGCACTGTGAAGGAGGAAAAACAGCAGAAGAACTCATCACAGCTGAGCTAGCTGGACACCCTTGGAACCTAGAAACAAGATCAGGGTCAGCAGGAGGAGCCCCTGCCTCCACCTTTGGATGCCCCTGGACTGCGGGTCCCCAGCAGCTGCTGTGTCTGAACCCACACAGCCAGCCCACAGGCAGGAGCCCACAGGCCTTGCTGCTGAGTGGTGTCCCAGCCGCAAGAGGAGCCATCCACGGTCTGGATCTAGCTCAGGGTGAGTCCCACGGCTGCTGTGACAGCCATCAGCACTGGACAGAGGACTCTCTGGCTATGGGAAGTATAGCTACTGAGGAATCCAGGCACAGCAGGGAACAGGGACGGTGCAGGAAGGGCGGGAGTCTCCCTGGGGCACGGGCCTCCGGGGAGCTGCGCTGCCCTTCTGTGGTGTTATAATTAGTCCTCCACTCTGGCAAAGACAACATGGGCCCCAAATGCCTTTCCCATACCTACACCATCTGTAGGGATGCGGTGCTTCCCACCCCACCCCAGTCATCCTCTGCAGTAGTGCGGGGACTCGGGTGGCCTCATCCACCCTGAGCCAAGGCCAAGGGGTGGCGGCCTCAGTGTCCATGGCCATGGGGATGGTGCCCAGGGCCCCTGCAGTGACCACTCCCTCCCTCCCTCGCACACTGTCCCCGGCAGGGCAGACAGGGCCTTTCTGACTTGTGCCAGAGCCAGCATGTCTGTGCCACCTTCCTGGGGAGCAAGTGTGGGTCACTTTGCAGTACACACTGCAGCCCCGGACGAGGGCACAGAAGCCCTTAGAGGACAGCAGGAGCTTTCAGGAAGACGGACAAATGGGAATGAGAAGGATGTGCAGAGGGGTGTCTGGGACACGGTGCCTGGGACGGGTGTCCGTGGGGCCAGAGGGCAGCACAGGAAGCTCAGGCAGGCGATGCGGAGGGCCGCGGACCTGGGACACCACTTCTGTCCGGGAGAGCAGGCTGTGACCGCGAGAGAGAACAGCGCTGGAAAGAGGAGGCAGCAGGCAGAGTCTTGGGAGAGACAGGAAGAAACACTGGGCGTGGGAGCGCAGGGCTACAACCCGAGCACCCCGGAGGCCGAGGCAGGAAGACTGCAAGGTCAGCCTGGGCTGTGTAGAAGACCAAAGAAAACCAAACAATAGAGGATTGGGTCAGGGGTGGAGCCTACAACAAATGCATGGGTAAAACCCATGTTTTTAAACACATACACACACACACACACACACACACGTGCGTGTGCAGTCTGGATGCCATATAAACCACGTGTGTATGCACTAGCACTCTTTTCCTTTTTCCGTACCAGGGATCGAACTCGGGAACTTCCGCTTGCGAGCCAGGTGGCGGAACCATTGATGAATCCCCAGCCTGTCACTAGCACACTTAACCTAAAATAAAGTCCACTCCTGTACTCGGTTCCTGTGGTCATGGAGGTTCTCAAATGATGCAGAGCAGAATCTCAGTTCTTCTGGAAGCAGACTTACTGGTCTCAGAGGCTGCAGTGGTACCCTGTGGTCTGGCATAGTTTCTGTGCTTCTTCGAGAAGCAAACGAAAGCAGGGGCGCACAGTAAGCAGCCGTGCAGACTCTGGCGTTGGAGGTGGGTCTGAGATTTCGGTTCCGAGGCTTCTCTGAGGCTGCTTCTCAAGGTTCACAATCCATGCAATTTCACCAGATGTGCCTTCCAAATCGGCTCCTTCATCCGGCCCATGAGTCCCGGCACCCACAGCTAAGGTCACAGAGGATGCCACCGCCGCCACCCGAAGCAGCCCGCTCCTGGCAGCTGCACAGTGGTCCAACACCAGCCCAGAGGGACAGCGGAGGAGGAGATAGAAGTAAGCGCTCTCCAGCACTGCTGGGCCTGGCCTGGGGTTTAGGAGAGAAGAGGAAGAAAGGGAAGTGCTTTTTGTCCTTTCTCTGTAGCCAACTGGCTCCATCCTTCAGGGTCTTGTTTCTCCTGCTGAAAAATGCAGTTCGTGGTAATTGCCTCAGGGAACTGGAATACATTTTACCAGTTAACTTTTCAAAACCCAAAGGAGGAAGAGGGTGACTTGGGTCCTTCATGTTGAGGTGGGACCCTTCGGAAATGGGACAGCATGGGAACAGCTTGGCGAAGTGACAATAACATCATCCACTCTGTGAGGCTGGCTCTTCCCTGCCTCCCAGAATCTACCAAATTTAACAGAGGACAACAGCAAGGTGAAACAAAGGAACAAGGACGCTGCCTGCAGTGTTTTCACTGTATTTCTACATGAAGCTTTTTCCCTTTACCTGATTGGAACCATGTCCCACCCATATCATTTAAAAATTTTGCTGCAGAAGATGAAAATCTCCTTGCTGGCCCCATACATGACCCTGCGGTGCAATGCTGTTTGGATTTGGTGACCTCTCCTGCACTGGAGTGAGTCCTGCGTGTTTACATTTCCACACACACACACAAAGCCTTCCAGACCAGCTGCACAGTGAACTGTTTGAGGCACCTTCCTGACCAGGGTACAGTTTACACAAGTAGCAAGCAGGTGACACCACCAAGCCCTTTCCATTAACTAGCCTCGGGCATCTAACCAGAACAGAACACCCTTGCCAGTTTATGCATTTAATCGCATGAAAAAATATATTCTGAGCACAGCAGTGCTGCTCATGAATAAGATGTTTTTGATGAAAGTTTCCAAGTGGAGAATATGGCTCCAGGTGGTCCAAAGCATGGCTTTCTGGGTGATCCCTGAACCTGTGACTTGGTTCTGGCACCAAGGCAGGGAGGGAGTATCTCATGCCTGCTTTGCCAGCCCCGAGTCCTGGTGCCGAGGTACTGTGTGGGAATGGTGGTCACAGGGGTAGGCCGGTGGCTTTGATTTTCCAGTGTACAACGGGACAGAACGTGAGGAAAGTTGGTTATGGAAAGCCCATGAGCAGAGTACAGCGTGATGAAGAACAAAAAGGAAAGGAGGAGCTCTGTTCTGAGCCCTCGAACCCTTGTTTTCCCTGGTTCTCTGCTCCCTGAACAAAGGGAATGAAATGAGCTGCAGGCCCATGAAGCAGCAAGGAGCCCTCTCGGGTGCCCTCTTCCTGTCCAGCAGTGGGGACTGAGCCTTGGCTTCAATCATGAACCGAGTATTGTGAAACGTTGCAGTCTGTTTGAGGGCTCGGGAGTTACTATTTTGCAGAAAAATCAGTTTCTGTGGGATTAGCTGTGTACCCCAACTGTTTCTTCCCGAGACCACCACTGTGTTGAGACATAATTAACTCACAAGAACTCGGGCTTTTCCTAGCTCTCTGTAGCTGAGCTGTCTGATTGGCTCTCCCTGTATCTGGGATAGAACAGGGCCACAGGACTACAGGAAAAGCTGTTGAATTTTATTTTTGGCTACAGCATCTTGTCAGAAGCTGGCATCTGATGGCTGAAATAAGACCCCTAAAGCCTGGCATGGAAAAATGACCAAGTCCTGCGGCTGGATGGGAAGGAAGTGTGAGCCCTGCTCTGCCCTCTGCAGTGCCATCATCTTGTTACCACACAGCGGCCCAAGCGGGTGCAGGGAGCAGGGCACGCGAGAGCTTTGAAACCGGGGTGGCAGAAAGGCAGGCGCACTGTGTAAGGGAAGGCCAGGGGAGGGCAGAGACAGCTTCGGACACTGCGGCTTCCATGTCCAGGCCGGGGGTGGCCTGGGCCTCTGAGCATTGTCTCCCTGGCTCTCCAGACCAACAGAGCTGCCGCTGTTCTGACAAGAGCTCGGGAGCACGGACTGCCGTCTCTCCGGCGGGGCCCTTCTGCACCACTTCTCAGGCACAGTTAGCGCGTTCTTCTAGCCATGAAAGGAACCATACAAATAGCGGGCAACCGTCTGTACCCTGCCCGTCTGAATGGCGAGGAGTCTGGCACGGTGCTCTCCATGTCATGACCCTAGCACAGCGACAGAGTTGCCCACGCCGGCAGTGACAGTCTGGACACGGCAGAGGACACCCTGTCATCAGGGCTCTTGGGTTTCCCCCTCTTTTGCTTCTCTCGGACCTGCTCTCAGCTTTTCTCTGCTGAGCCCCAAGGAGAAGAGGGAGAGACGCATGCACCACTGGTTCCAGTTCAGCTGAAGATGGCTGCTTGCCTGCCACCTGGCATGGTGACATTTAAAGGGGGTTGGTGTGTAGTCAGCATACCTGCAGGATCTGAACTTGGTTAGCAGGCAAGTCACCCGTGTGTCTCCTAGGCCCCATTTGGTTGGTTGCACCACGCTCCTACCCAGGGCTCCCAACTGTGGCCTCGAAAGGGGCTGGCTGGGGAGAAGTCACTCTCCACATGGGGCTCCAGGGAGCCCCAGCTGAGAGCACTGACCTGGTCCAGGCCCAGGCCCTGGGTGCCTGCGGCAGTGAAGGCTGGGATGCCAGCTTGGGCACCTGACTCCTCCACACACGGGAGGCCCGGCCTGCCCTGGGCACACTTGGAATCTGGCCTCAGTGAGCCGAGAGGCTTCATTTAAGGCCAGAGTTTCGGTACACACTGAACGGAAACATCCATTCCTCAGCCAGCGTCTCTGACTGCAATTGTTAAATCACTCGCAGTTCTCACAGAAACAGCTTGTGGACAGCCATCCTGGAGCAGGCTTAAGTGGCCCACACTGAAACTTTAGAAATAGGTTTCCACAGCATACAGTAAAAGAAAAGCACACCCATTAGGCCAAGAAGAAAAGTAAAAGCAACCTGGTTTGATTGTTCCATCAAAGCAACATCCATCACTGATGAGGCAGAGAGGAGCTCCGAGCTGTGCCTCTGACATCCGGTCCCACATCTTCCCTCACGCCTGTGACTGAAACCGGACTTGCCAATTAAAAATACACCTGTCAGTATTTCCAGGAGAGTTTAGACAGAAGACTCCAAAAATCTTCCCATATGAACAATATTTTAAGCAGCTTGAATGGAGAGAACCTTGAGATCCATTTATTTTCCCAATAATGAATGATAAATCTTTTTCCATGTTGGTTTGGGGTAAAGGTGAAACATCAGAGTCACAGCCTCGATAACAAGGCTACTTGGAAGATAATAATCACCCTGTAGATTTTCTCCAAGGACGACAAGAAAACCAAACCAACACCCAAGAAACTTACCAGGGAAGAAATTCATTTGCTCCCAGACATATTTTGAGAATAGGAAAATACACAGGTGTTTGAAGGGGAAAAGGAGAGATGATGTACTGCGAACTGAATTTCCTAAGCAGATGGCATTGTGACGGGTCTGGAAATTTACTTTTCCTCTCTGTGCCTCCTTATGAAGCCTGGTCCACATCATTTTAACATCCAGGAGAAACATTTGAGCCAGAATGGGGGGCACACTCAGGACCACTGAGGGTGGGCTTCAGAAGCCCCAACCCTGCGGGTGCTCCAGTCCCTTGCAAATGGTAAAGCAGCCACACACACACACACAGCCCCGCCTGTGTTTCGAGTCACCTCTGGGCGATTTAGGATGCCTAGTTCAACGCCAGCACCACCCAAGTAGTTGGCACCCAGCACTGCTCGGGGCACCATGACCCGGGTACATGTTCAGCACACAAACTGCCCCAAATACTTTCCACCCGCCATTGGTTAAATCTTCGGTGTGGAAGCCATGGGTACAGAGGGCCAAATGCACTCAGTGTCTGCTGCTGAATTTTAATGTCTGTACTTTCACTTTGACCTCTGTGTGGGCTCCCTGTGACGTGTTTGGTGTCCTCAGAAGCACTGTTAGTGTGGAATGAGTATTTGCCATTCAGCAGTACCAAAGATTTCTCAAACCCATATATATCTGGTCTGCTGCATTCTATTCTTAGGAGAAAGGCAGATTAACCAAGGGTGCTGTTCGTAGGTGTTACTTTAAAATCCACATTACTCAGTCTGTCAGCCACTACATGTTTGGCCTGGTCTCCTGTCTGCGTCCATTGCCTGAGGTAATATCTGATCCCATCACTGAGACCCTGTAGCATTGGGAACCAACAGAAAAAGACTACTGTCTATTATATTAAAAAAGAGCTTTCCTATTTTAGGGTTCAATCATAATTAAAAACAAAAATTTAAAAAGTGTGGCTTCCTACACATGCTGTACCCAGTAACTCTCCTAAATCCAATGTGCAAATCTAACAAGCAAGTGATAATTCCAAAGGCAAATGCTTGGTGTACAAACGGGCACAAAGGGAGGGGCCCCTGACACTGACAGTGTTCATTTATTTCACGATTTACTCCTTCAGCAAATCTAACTTGTGTCCATTGGGAATCATTCTGCCCCAGGATGCTTCTAGTCTGGTGGTCCCTACAAATTACCTTTGACCTCAATAAAGCAAACAGTGAACCTTTGTAATACAAAGTAATTTACTTTTGTGGCAAAATATGCAAAACATAGACTGTGCCCTGCACCATCTCTAAGGGCCACTGTGGTGGCGTCAAATGTGCTCACGGTATGCACAGCTGTACCCGGGCTGCCCTCGGCTGGAGGTTCTGCGTCCGAGACCAGCACCGTGCTGTCACTTCCACATCCCAGGTGACCAGTGGCTCGATTTCAGCAGCCAACTCTTCTCCAGGAAGGAAGGAGCTAACGAACCCATCAGCATGGTGCGTTGGGACCTCACATTTCTACCACAGACTGCACATAGAGATGGCTCACGCATGCCAGACAAGTGCTCTGCCAGTGAGCAGGAACTCTGGCCTACCTTTGTAACACCTGATCTATCTCAGACATCGGTGTAAGTAAGCGTTCAGCTCAGACACGAGCCTGGCAAGGAAGAGCCACTCCTGTGTGTGTCAGCCCTCTAGGCCCTGTACTGTTAATCTAACGCACAGCCTAAGATTGGAATTCTCAGAGCCTTAGCTATCTTGACGTGTGTGCTTATGTATCACCTTACCATATATACCCTTCGCTGTGTAGTCCAGGTTGGTCCTGAACTCACTAAGTAGCCAGGCTGGCCTCGAACTCTCAGTGCTCCTCCTGCCTCAGCTTTCCAAGTGCTGAGATCACAGGTGTGCGCCACCATGCCAGGCTAGACGCACAGTTTGAAGCATTCTGAAGTCTCCAGAATCTCTTGTTCTGGAGCATGTTTCTTCTTTGAGTACAGTACAGGTGGATTTAATACAGTATGGGCCAAGCCTCCGAGGCACTTCTACAGCACAGTGGCCCAGCCTCCCACAGACTGGCCTGTGCTTTGACCCCTTTGGCCTGCTGTGTGGGGTACTGATACAGAGGTTATGAGGAAAATGCCAACTTTGTCATGCCCCATCCAGCGTGCCCAGTGCCTGCTGTCCTCCAGTCCAATAGGGCCTGGGCTTTATTTACCCCAGTGAGACACAGGGCTCACCAATGCCCGGGATGCGTTCTCCTCCCCTGATGCCGGCAAAGTGCATGACTTGTTTCCGTTTTTGACAGCAGATCTATTTTAAGACTCTTCTTTTACTGTCCAAGGACATCATTTGTCATTTACTTAATATACTGGCTTCTGCACCATGTATGAGCCAACAAACTCCATCTGAGGGACAGAGTGAAGCCAGCATGGGCTTGGCTTGGCCTGGCCTGGTGCTGAGTGAGGCGTTGTCTGGGCCCAGGGAGCACACAGCTCCTGGGAGAGGGCAGCAGGGTACAGTGGGGCAGCCGAGGCCCCGGGTCACTGCTGGAGGGAAGGTTACAGGCACTCAGGGCCCAGCCGGAGAGTGGTGGGAAGAGGTGCCCGAAGCAGGTATCCCCTTAGCGAAGGTCACATCTGCCCATGGGGAGAAATCTTGGCGCAGGTCCCCTGCGAAGGCCAACTGTCCACCTCAAGCCCAAGCCCAGAACTGCTCTGTGGAATCCCTGCCGCAGAGCAGGCAGAAGTTTGGAGCCACACCAGCTCTGTTCCCATCCTGAGGGCCAGATCTGTGCCCTGCCCTGCTGTGCCAGGTCCCAAGGAGCTAGGGCTGCTGCAAAGCTGTCACCCCAACTCCCACCCCAGGCCAGCATCAGTGTGCAGTGGGCCAGGCTCCCATGCAGGAGGCTCCCCTTCCTCCCTGGGAACCTGGAGCCCCACGGCCGCACTGCCTTCACTGGGTGTCCTGCCTCCTCCAACCTCTCCCTGGTCCTAGTGGCACATGCCACAGGATCGAGTCACCATCTGCCTACTGGGGTCGGGGAGAAGGGGAGGGCACCGGCCCTGAGACCCTGCACATCACAGACTGCACATTGGCTCACCTTCTTCCCGAGGTCTGGACCCAACCGACCCTCTCCAGGGCCTACGCCCCAGCCCTGCCTTTCCTAGAGGCAGGACTTTATTTGGACTCAAGGTTTCATTCAGTTTTCTTTTTAACTAGGAGTCTTTAGTTTTCGATTTCCAGAAAGACAGCACTCGGTGCTGCATCCCATCTACCCACCAGCTCATCCTGAGCCCCAGGCTGGCAGGGCACCGTGGCGGCAGTCGGGTAACCTTGCTGCACACTGGACCCTTCCGCTCCTCGTGAGAAATGACTGCATGTTCAGCACGACGTGAGAGCACAGAGGCAGGGAAGGAAAGGCTCGGAAGCTCTTGCAAAATGTTGGGGAATCAGGAAAGCACAGACGAGGTACACACATGTATCTTCCGTGCTGGGGCAGTGGACTTCCGCGCACTTAGTTTCTCAAGCATGGCCGGCCTGTCCCTGTCACTGACCCGGTCCTCAGCCCAGCGCAGCATCAGGCGAGGGCTGGCCCGATGCCCCAGCACTGAGGTAACCTTTTCGTCCTTATGCTGCCCTCTGGCTGATACTGAGGCTGTGGTTCTACCAGCAGCTCCAGGCAGCTACTACTCCTGGCCCCATGTGCTCGGCTGGAAGGGCAGGCTGCCCAGGGCCGGGTCCCAGATGCTGTCCTTGCTCTGGGCCCCGAGTTATCACATGGCTCCTGGATAAGACTGCTTTCTATTTTTAACTGGATCAAAAAATGACTAGGGATTGAAGAAATCACTGAAAGAAAGGGCACTGGGAGGGTGGTATTTACTGTCTCCAGTTCTTCTGAAAGGTCTCACACAACAGAAGCTTCGCTGTCTGAAAATGCCCTTTGCAAAGCAAACTATTTCATTTTCCCCAGTCTGCCTCTCACCTTTAAGGATATCTAATTTGTCTATGTATTTAGAAACGGCACACAGTTTCCTATTCATATCGAGGAAAGCTCTCCTTCCATGGCCACTCCTGCCCCACAGGTGCAGAAAAGTCCAGCTCTGTGTCTTCCCAGGCGTAGAACCACCTTGCATTTGTAAGACAAACGGCTGACCTGCTCTGAACCCCTCACCGTGCTTCCGTGTTCGCAGCGCTCACCCAGCAGCGTGTGGGACAAGCGTGAGTCACTGTCCTATGACTCACAGCTTCACTGGGGACAGAACTTGTGGCTCACAGTTTCGGTCGTGGTAGGGCTGGCTCCAGGGCAGAAGCAGAATGGCGGGAGTCTGATGGAGGACAGCCGCTCGACCCATGGCAGCCAGGAGCAGAGAGAGGGGAGGAGCTGGCCAGGGACCCTTCCAGGTCATGCCCACCCCAACAGCACACTCGGCCCTGAAGTCACCATGGATGAACCTGCTGGTGGGCACAGTGCCCTGCACCCCCGCACACGAGACTTGGGGGACATTTGAGACCTACACCATAACAGGACCTATCTCTGCTGCGGGGTGTGGACTGGGAAGGGGGTCGGCCGTAACAAGGGTTTTACATGCAGGTCCCAAGGCCCACAGTAGATTCGGGGAAACATTGTCTCAGGGTGCACAGCCCAGGAACAATGCACACAGAGTTTTTATTCCAAGGGCACAGCCTCACCTCAGACCTGCGAGAGGAGGTAAACTTCCTGACCGTATTTTGCCCATAAGATGGGACCCATGAAGGGAGTGATTCGGATACACACTGAATGCGGCAGCCCTTCATAAGGAATAACAATTCCTGCTGGCCAGCTGCTGTCTACTTCTCAGCTCCCAATAGCGGCGACTCCAGGCTGGGCCAGCGAGGGAGGTTTATTCTTGGACATGTTTGCAGCATCTCCATTTAGTCCCAGGCCCAGAAACCACCCCAGACCCCAGGAAGCTCTGCTGTGGGCCTGGGAGGCATCCGGAATCGGGGCTACCTTGGTGCAGCATCAGCTTCCAGAAGAAAGAGGAGCAAGTGAGCCCTAGGAATGGCACCAGCTCAGAAGTGAGCGGAGACCTGGCCAGGGCGGCTGAATTTCAGGAAAGCACAGAGCCGGGGAGCATCTGGCCCTCCTGGGCAGTGTGGCCCAACAGGAAGGGGATGGAAACCTGTCTCCAATAACAGCAGAAAGAGGGGATGGGGCAG